TCCAGAGATGTGGAGCAACTTATTCTCATAGAGGGTATCAAATCTTTGGAATTCTTTATTATAAAGAGCCGTCAAGGTTGGGTTGCTAAGCATATTCAAAACTGAGATAATCAGGTGTTTCACTCAATAAGCAAAACAATGGGTAAATCAAGGGGAAAAGGCAGGAAAATGGAACTGAGCATAATCAGATCAGCCATGATCTCATTGAATGGAAGAACAGACTCAATGGGCCAAGTGGCCTGCTTCTGTTCCTATCTCTGAAGCTTTTATGATGCTGGGAAATGTTGATTCAACAAAGCACAATGATCTTATGATATTTACAGGTCAAATTTGAATTGTATAGTTAGCTTAGTTTCTAACCAACTTAACCTGAAGGTCTGAATTAGATGCAATTAACATATTTTAATGTACATTTTCCTACACTACACTCTGTTTTGGAATGAAAGATATTGCACTTGATTTATAGACAACTATCCAATTAACTTAATTTGTACATGCAAGTTCAACCAATTAGCATACTTCATTAATATGCTGCTGCTATTAAAATAATGATTATATACTGCAGAATGTGTAAAGTGCATAATTGTCTTTTTGAGATATGGGGAAAATCTAATTAGCATATCTTGCAGAAACAAACCTCATCTAACGGCATAGCTTACTATTACATTTCTCACTATTGGTATAACAAGTTTTACAAGAGTAGCTGTTGTTCTCAAGCTGTTGGAACAAAGGTAGTGAAGTTAACACCAATGATGTTGAGAAAACCTTTTCTAACACCTACTCCCTCCTCCTATTAACTAATGCAAGGAACAAAAAATGTCAATCAGATTTAGTGTTAAATCTAGCTACAACCTAGAGTACAAAAGTATATCGCTGGTATATCCACATACCTTTGTGCATTAAAAAAAAATTCAACGGCACAGTGAATTCTGCAATAAATAGGCTGTGCTGTTTTCTTATCCATTTGAATAGCCATTTCTTTTACTTTTTTTTTAAAAAATGACCAGATACATGTATCAATAAGACTTAAACAGCAGACAAATTATCATTTCATTTCCACTTTGAGGCAATATAAAAGCAAAAGTGAAAACTCAAAGTGAGATTGCGTGAGACCATCTTAAGGAAGCACCCTCACACAGGTTGTAACTTATTGCTTCTTAAAAATAAACTCCTGTAAAATCTTCAGTCCTGCTTGAATAAATGTTGGGGAATCTCATGAGTTTAATAAATTTAGTGTTTTTGGTAGTTTAGTGGAGTAGCATAAAATTAAACATGATTTTTCATAGATAGGTGGGAGCCTACAAATTCATCTGAAGTTAGGTTTGCTGAAAGGACAGGTTTCCTTGGGTTCTGCCAAACCTTGCTCAACATTTTTTTTTTGCTTCCTTTTACATGCCATTGACAACAGATTCAGAGACTGTTTGGTGGGCAGGCTTTTAACACTGGGCTACAGATAGAGAACAGAGAGGTGGTAGAGACAACTTTGGAAGAATGGGAGCATCAGAAGACTGGAAGGATATTTGAATGGTCAGTCGTGTTGATATCAGGGAGCGTGTGAAACTCTAGCCATCCTCATTTCCTTTTGGTCATAGCTAAGTTTAAAATAATAAGTTAATTCTGTAGCATAGAGCATTTATTATAGTGTTTGACCAACAAATTTGCTCCATGAGCAGGTCCCACTTTCATTCTGTTTGCAGGTTCCTTTTACGCACTATTTGACCAATCCTATCCATATTTGTGGGGTTAGAATCCCCAACAGAATCTACACACAGAATAAAACCATTCAATCAATCTGGTCTAGAATAGCTCAGTGGTCTACACAAGGGCCCTCCAAATCCTTACCATCTAATCCTGTCAGCAAACTCGCCTATTCCTTTCTTTCATGTGTGTTTGTCTAGCATCCATTTAAATGCATCAATTTCATTTATCTCAACTACTCTATGTGAAAGAGTATCACTCTCTGTATGAAGAAATTTGTCTTGACATGTGGCCACCTTATTTTCATAGGCCCATTTTGGTTTCCCTCCACAAGTTGAGATAGGTGTGTCCTTCGCATCAACCTTTTATAATTTTAAATTCTTCTGTTACATCTCTTCCAAGTTTCTTCCTTTTCCAGAGAAAAGAGCTTCAGTCCTTTCACCTTTCTTCATAAGTATGTTATTTCCAGTCTGGTACCATCCTTACAATTTTTTTTTTAACCTATTTTTCCTGTGTCTCTATATCCTTTATAATATCAAGACCAAAACTGTGCACAGATGCCCAAGTGTGGCTTCACCTAGGTTCAGTACAAGTTTCACATAATTTTCAGATTTTCAATTTTGCCTCTAGATACAAAGACTAGTTTGCTTATTTGTGTGTAAAAGCCTTATTAAATTGTGCTGCTACTTTTTGGGTCCATATTAGTGTTAGAAATATGATTATTGGTACTCTCAGTACTGTGATATCTTAAATATGCACTGCACAAGCTCTCTTTTGGTCCCAAGAGTTGAGTTCATAATCATGAAGTATAAATCAGATGCAGTCAGGATAGAACAGGAGAAGATGAGGAAATATAAAGAGGAGAGAAAGTGCATAAAACAGAAATTGCTGGAAAAGCTCAGCAGGTCTGGCAGCATCTGTGAAGAAAGGGGTGGAAGCTCAGGGTCTTTTTTGCAAGCAGAACATGGAGTGACCACTTTGCTGAACATCCGTCTATGCTTCTTTAGCCCAATCTACATTGACTGGGTGACTGCTTCGCAGAACATCTATGTTCTGCCTGCAAAAAAGACCCTGAGCTTCCAGTTGCCTGCCACTTTAAACACCACCCTGTTCCCTGGCCAACATCTCTGTCTCTGGCTTGCTGCAGTGTTCCAGCAAATCTCAATGCAAACTGGAAGAGCAACACCTCATTTCCCACTTGAGGACCCTGCAGACCTCCAGACTCAATATTGAGTTCAATAATTTTAGGGCCTAAATTCACCCACGCCCTAGCCTCCTGCCCCACACACCAGGCCTTGTTATCACATAGCCTGCATTATACACTACCTGTTGTTTTAACAGTCCCCATTCACAGCTTTTCACCCTCCTAGCCAGATTGTTATTAACTCCTTTGTCTATCCAACTGCTCTTCTTTTTCTTCGGGCTCTATTCTGTATCCCATTGTTTACTCCCTACCCCATCCCCGTCCCTATTTCCAGCATGTAAATCACCATTTTCCCAGCTAGCATCAGTTCTGAGGAAGGGTCCCGAAACATTAACTCTGTTTTTTCCTTCACAGACCTGCTGAGCTGCTGAGCTTTTCTAGCAACTTCTGTTTTTGTTCCTCATTTACAGCATCCGCAGTTCTTTCGGGTTTGTTTTTGAAGAGAGCAAGTGCCTTTGGCTGATTGAATTTATTCCCTTATTATTTCACACCTTCCATTCTAGCATCCAGCTAAACTTTAAATTTCCCTAATGACTTTGATTCCACGCCTTAATGGCCCTTCATTTGTTACTTTCTTTATATTTGACAAGATTCTGGTTAAATTTTCAGACCAGTACTTGGGTATAAATGAAGCCTTGGATAAATCAAAATCAGCTGCATGCTGTATAATGTGAAGGTTCTGGAAGTGTGCCATGTCGGAGACTGTATATGGCTGAGCCCAAGACTCTGTGACAATATTCAGATTCAGTGAAGCTGAAAACAATCTCTACCCAATCTGATGATGCCACATAGGCTAGCGTGGAGAATTGATGAGCTCAGTTCTACACCTCAATCAGGTCAAACATGTCAATCCTAACTGCTCACTGTCTTAGTAATTATGTAACTTGGACTTTGTTTAACTAGGCAATAAACTAAATTCTGGTGTTAAAGTAAATGCAGTCAAATGCCTCCTCCTGTTAAGACTTATGAGGGGTTTATCATCTACCACTAATAGCCAAACAGGTCCTTTGACACATTGTAGAAAGGAGGATTAGTGGCAGGACTCTACCCCATCTGTTAATTACCACTGCCTGGTATCCCAGCATATGAGAGTCAGCATTAAGCTTTCTTTTTTGACACTGGAAGAAAATGTAAATTCTTTTGTGTAATTCAGTAGAACAGTACAGAATAAATGCAAACCCATAACCATAGTGACTAAAACAGCACATTAAATACCGCAATTATGAACAAAGCAAGTGGAATAGAAAGCAAAATCAGACTTGCGCTTCAAGGGCTAATTTGCATAAATATAGAGACAAAATAATTACCATACATGTTATATTTCTTCCATCAGCCTTCAAACAAAGGTCAAGTAACTCTTCTTTTGAACTTTGTAACATGAAGAATGCCACGTACATAAAAAGAATTAAATAATTTAAAACCACTTATGCCACATAATATTCACTTTGACATCCTTAGGGACATCAGCAAAGAAACAGATTGAAATATGACTGATATTTTTAGGCATTACATAAACATATTTGAGGATTTGAGATGAGCTAATGTAATTTTGTTTATAAAATGGGCACCAAGCCAAGAATTTTCATCAAGTAACACAGAGAGAAAGCACAAAACCATCAGAAATGATGTTACTACTGTTCAATTAAGGACTGGAGAGGCTAAAAGGACGAGTGTGCAGGATTTTGTAGGAATTATTTCTGTACATCTTACATTTGAATAGAATTTTATGAACAGATAATTAACACATTATCAGTTCACAGAATCACATTTGATTTCTAAAAAGTTTCTGATATATTATTCATGGGGCTTTCAAAGCTGGTGAAAATCTTCATAAAACTACCTTACCATAGTTGGTTTCAACATGCTATTATGTATAGTATTCAGGGATTAAATTCATTGAAAAAAAATTTTAACAAATATGTTTTTATGCCAAAAGGTTCAACTTTAAAAAAAAATCACACTTCAAATTTCTCCAGAGTTGCTTTCAAACAGAGATCTACAGAATGCATGGAAGAAATGAAGAAGAATGTAAAATGTCCTACCACCGTCTCATAATGAAAGCTGAATATCAGAGACCAGGCACTGTCAGAACACATACCCGTGAATTTTTCTCCCTCTGTAGCATCTGCTCATGTTGTTCAGCTATGGCCAGTGCCGCAGAATGCACTTTCTGGTAAATTGCTTCACCTTCTCTTGTTTGGAAGGTGAATAGTCCTTCACCTGTATCACACATTCTGCCAAAATACAAAAACAATTAATATGCAGAAAAATATCAATGCTTTCAAACCTTGCAAGTGTCACTAATTTCCTTTTTTATTCTTGTGGGCAGTTTTTGCGTCAGCCCTTGAACTCTCTGGATAGATAAATACCAAACATACCACCAAACATGTGCTTTACGGCCCCTTGAAAGCCCTGATGCAGCAGTTATGCATGAATTGACTGAGATGTTTAGACTTCTGATGGGCAGTTCTGCTTTGCCTGGGTTACAGTTGGAAACTTGTGAGAGATCTAACTTATTTACTAAGATAGTTACCCACAAAATGTTAGACTTATGAAAATATTGTTAAACTTCTGGGTAAGTATAAAACTGACTCTTCTTGACATTCCATGCCCCTCCCACCCCTGACTCCTCAAATCCTCTTATTCCTCCAATTTCCCGATCCTCTGATATACCCCACAACCATCTGGCCCCCTGGAGTCTCTGACACTCCCATAATTTTCTAACCTCCTCTGGCTCAATGAATTCCCCAACCTCAGAACCTCCCCGCACTCCTGAACTCCCCAGAGCTTGCAAATCCCATCCTGACCCTTCGGCACTCTCTTCATCCTCTGACCCCTGACACACCGAATTGCAACTCTCCGATCCTCCAATTCTACCACCTTGAAACTCCAACCACCCCCAAACCCTACTCAGACCATGAATTCTCTCCTGAATTTTGATTCTTTATTTTTGATATGGCCCATCTGTATCTTGCTTTCATGCTTTTCCCTGTAGACAGACATTAACACATGCCTTATCTATGCTTTGCTTCTGTTCTAAAAAACTTCCCCAAAATACCTCATGCACCATCTCAGAATTGGTAAATGACTATGTAGAAAGAAAAAGAGGGAAATCATAAGACCATGAGAAATAGGGACAGGAGTAGGTCATTTGGCCCCTCGACCCTGCTCAGCCATTCAATCAGATCATTGCTGAGCCTATTAATGTTAGGGAGCATGCAGTGCCTGGCTCATTTTTGTTTGTTTTGGATTTGGGACAAAAATGGGAAAAAAAAGATACTGCTGTTAACCAAGGAATGTGGAATGAGTGCTGCATTTTTAAGAACAAGTCTTTGGAACTAATTGTGTGTTGCTCAAGCAGTGAGGGAAGATGTTTAAAATCGAATGGCACAATGGGTGCATGTTTTCAGTGCAAAAATCTGACAGAAATGGACCACTGATTTTTTTTTAATTAATTAGCACCTGTTGTGAAGACCAAGAGCCATCAGCACGGCAACAACTCTCTGGCTTAGGGGCAGCTTGATACAACGTTTGTCAGGAATACAGAGGCAAAAGGTCTCCAGACTGCATGAGACAGGATCTCTCCTTTACTCTTTCTACAGTGATGTGACTACATATGGAAAGATGGCTAGGTAAGCTGTTGCTTCTAACCAGTGACTGAAAAACTGAACAATTAATGTGCCAACCCCAAACCCCATCTTCAGCAAATAACTGAAAGAACTTAGATACAAAGATCAGAGCTCTTGAAACTTGAAAAGACTTGAGAGGCAAAAGGAAGACCTCAATAAATCCATGGACTGGTACTAATAAACTGTGTTTTCCATTCACCTTTTGTTTGTTTGTGTGTGAATGTGTGGTTTCAGAGTTGCAATTAGTCGAACTATATGTCAATGTTGGCTGTGGTTAGAATTGATTTGCATGTTCAGTACAGAAATATGGTTAGCATTCTCTGTTAACCTGAGTCTATCAGACAGGTAAACTAGACTCTTTGAGTAAGTTTAACTAACTCTAACTTTTGTGACGACCCTAGGAGTAGTGTGGCTCCAGTTCTGATGCACTTTCTCAAGTGAACTGTAGCACATTGATGTTTACAATATAAAGGAGGTGAAATTGAAATATATGCAAGGCATTTATGCAGATTAAGTCTTATCTCTATTCTAGTGGGTTCTGTATATTTGAATAGATTAAATTCAAATTACTGTATAATTGGTTTGTTGCATAGTAGTGAGCAGTTAAGCGATCCTGTTATTAATCTTTAAGCACGCAAATTAAACCGCACTAAGGAGGTTCATTCCAAACGTTGTTCTTAGAGACATAATAACTTTCCCAGATGTAAATAGAATAGAAAATACAATTTCATAAAATTAGGTTATTAATTCACTTTAATATGGGCCAGAGATGCAAATAATTGTCCCTTCACATAATGCAACATAACGCACAGCATTCTGCCACATTAGTATTTCCAAAGATTTCATTACATCAATTGTCTTTGCTTTAGAACTTGGCATTTTATAGTGTTAAACAAAAGATTTTAATAGCTCTTACAGAGAAGTCACACAGAAGGATACATGAACTGATCTAGTATAACATATTAATTGAAAACACAACATTTTTCTTGAATTCTTGCTTCTATCCCATTAGAGATCAACTATGCAATGGCTAACATGCTGCATTTATACAGACAGATGCTGAATTCAATATTTTAGCAGTGTCATGAGTAGAAATCAGCAGTTGTAGTATTTATTAGAGTATGGAAAGGACAAAGCTCCTTTTTGTATGCTCTCTAGCAGTCAAGACACAGAAGCACATAAAAGAAAGGAGCAGGAGTAGGCCAGTTAGCCCTAAAATCTACTTCATCATTCAATAAGTTCAAGACTGTTCAGATTATGGCCTTAACCATAGTTCCTGTCTGCCCTGGTGTATACATACTACAACAAAATGAGTTATTGTGCAGTCTCTATTTAGCTGCCTCACATTACACATTGGCAAAGGTATGAAAATATATCTTCCCACACAGCTTTAGGAATCTTGCTCATGCCAATAGTCAGCAGCTAGAGGAGCTGAACAGCTAGAAACCCTACAGAGGAAACCCTCATTACAAGATTCAATCCAGCAGAAATCTACAGTCGACAGTAACAGCATTTCAGACCTGTAAGAGATGTTCTGCAGGAGGAGTTAGTAACTCTCTGGACCTGGAATATAAGTCAAATCAAGGCTGTTCCAGATTACACTGTGTGCCAATGAAAGGAGCAGACCCAATTTGGAGCACAGAGAACAGACACTCTGTATATAAAGTTAAGATGCCTACTGGGCAAGAGACAACTTTGTAAACCAAAAGGTGCAGACTTACAGGCTGAAAAAGTTAAGAGTAAAGAAAAGTACATATAGCTCAAATTGAGTATCAGTACCATAGCGAGCAGGTGCCATGGCTATTGTGAGGGAAATCAAATGCTTCCCAAGCACAGTCGCAGATCTGAGGACATCTCCCAGCCAGAATTAAAGCAATAAAGGAGCATTCTGTATTTGAAGTCAAAGCAGACAATGTTGAACAGAAGACGAAAATTAGGAGACTTCAAGGCCATAGCAAAGGAACGTGATCCTCTATTAAAATAGGAATAAAGGCAGGAAGCATTTATTCAAACTGCAAGACAATGGGAACCATTCAGAAACAAGCAGAGGGGAGTGGGTTTCATTAGAGCCTTAGATAGTGGGAATCAACTAGGAAAGTATGGTGATAAAAATGGTGAATGTTATTAAAGATACAGGCAGCAGGATTTATTCAGTTAAGCTGTTAAGCAAACGGAAATCATTTATCTAGCCCAGAAATAGCAAAAATTATCAAGACTGGTCACTAAAAAGGTGTGAATCCTATATTATGCCCATGAAAAAAAATCCTCCTTTTTGACTCCAAAAAAAAGGGAAAACCTTCAGTAGCGTCACAGAACAGTAGTTCTAGTATTACTGCAAAATTAAAAGCCTTTTAACAAGGAGAATACATTATTTCATTCAAAAGATCAACTATCAAAAATAATATTGCCAGTAGGATTGAATTCCACAGTGAGGCAAAATAGAACCCAGAAGTGTAAATCTTGAAGAGAATAATACTGAAGATACAGAATATCTTCCAAATTATGTACAAAACCTGAAGCTGAACAAATTAATGCTTTTCTATACAACATTGGAAAATTAGCTGAGGATGTCATCATTCACCAACCTGCAAAACGAGTGACAGATAATTTTGAAGAGGTACTGAGAGCATGAGATAATTATTGCAAGATCAAGATTTAATACGAGAGTTCTGCGTCCCAGGAAATCCAGAAATAATTTTATTATTCAACTGTACAGATTAGTAGAAAAATATGATTATAGTGATTTAAAGTCAGAATTCATAAATGACAGAGTTACTGTTGGGACTGCTGGTGAGTCTTTGTCCAGACTTATTATAGTAAACAGAATGACTCTAGAGAATGTTGGTCAGATGATGAATAAAGCAGAACTCCAGAAGCAGTACAGGTCAATCCTAGGAAGTGAAAATCAACTTAATCTCAGAAGAACAGTGGAATCTGTGCAATTTTTAAAGGTACCTAATCACAACAGCCACACCTGAGAAATCAGGACAGTGTCTTGGACAGACAGTAAAGGACATCAACACTAAAGAACATTGTCAGTGCAGCAGAACAAGGAAACCTCTCAGGCACAAACAGTGACCAGATATTAAAAAGAAAAGATTTATCTTTAACACAACAGGTTGGTTTCAGAAAATGTGCAATTGTAGGATATACTCTGAAAATAAAAACCAAGAAGCCAAATAGCTCCCCATATAACAAGGGAGTATAGTCTACAAAAGAAGAAAAACCTAAAGTATTTCTGAGGAAATAGATGATCCAAATGTGGTCTTTTGACAAGAGTATGTTTATGTCAATGTACATTTCATTAATTTATTATATGATACAAGGGTCAGAGTTACTAAATTATAGCAGTGAACAATAATTTAAAACATGCCATTAACAACTGACAACAGAGCAATGACGTGGTCCAGAAGGTACACCACTCAAGATGGAATTTAATTTAGATAAATGTGAGGTGCTGCATTTTGGAAAGGCAAATCAGGGCAGGACTTATACACTTAATGGTAAGGTCCTGGGGGTGTTGCTGAACAAAGAGGCCTTGGAGTGCAGGTTCATAGTTCCTTGAAAGTGGAGTCACAGGTAGATAGGGTAGTGAAAATGACGTT